TGTGTGTGTAAGGTGTGTGTTTGGTTTCACGCCAATTGGCAAAAAGAGGGTGTAGCAGTGAGAGTGGCCTATAACTAAAATGTCGCCCCTCAAGTATCCTCGGTACACATGATATCACGGAAAGGTTTTCCTAAGAAATCTATCAACACGTGTCATTTTCCCCTCGTTATATGCACACAGTCTTTTCAAAATAAAACAACTTAGCTAGGTTTAGGCAACACAACTTGGTTAGGTTTAGTAAAAGATCGTTTGGCTTCAAATGAATATGGAAGTGCCGTCACTTAAGTAAAAGATCTAAATGAGTTTACCTGGATTAATAAAGCTTCAATAAATGAAATAAAGGCTTAAACTGGGACAGCTGCATGTGGCAAACCGATGAGTTCCTCAGTATCTTAAAATATAAGAAATACATCAGTTTTGTTCACTAAAAATACATCAGAGAAAATATTTAAAATAAAACACTCAAAATGAACAATTATTGCTTGTCATTTAGTACAAATAATATGTAGATACATAAATAAACGTCTAATATCAATGAATCTTGTGAATGTTCAACTACTAGTTCGAACTATTTAAGCCAGTAGTACTACATCTGCTCCAATCACAGCTGCCTTTACTGCTTCTAGTACTCTTACTTCGACTACTACTGGTACTACAATAGCGCCTGCATGTAATTGTGCGTTATTGCTATTAGTGAAAAATAGTGTAGCACAAATACTTTGGTGACGTTCTTGTTAAATCATGACATTTTTTTGAACAAAATATACATTTTCATCAATAAAAAAATGAGCGCAGACAAAAAACATTATTCTATTCATATTTATTTGAAAACAACAATCCATTTTTTCCACTTCTACTGCGATTCCTTGTTGCAACTGGGGTCATACATGATATATGTATTAATTCCACAGAACATCATCACAAAAGTTACCCTTTTATATGCACGTTTACCTTTTTTTTTGTCCTTTTTCTTTTTGTATCGTTGTCATTTCTATACAATGACTTGTGCTTTGATATCTTTGAGAGAGAGAGAGAGAGAGAGAGAGAGAGAGAGAGAGACTTTTTTTAAAGACATCATTGTCGTCATGATAAGTGTACATAACAGAGGGAGGATCCAAAATAGAAAAAAGTCGTAAGAAGAGGATATACTGGTCTGAATACACACCGATACAGAATACAGAGATACACACTCACATTGCAGCCGGCCCGACTCCGCCCAAAACTGTCACAAAAGTCCTCCAGCCGTCCCTCCTCGTCCTGATTTTAGGATTTTTAAGAACGCTTGTTGTTGCCTTGCAACAAATACACACTCCCCGCTGGTGAGCAGAGTTTTGGCTAAATATTGCTTAGCTACAAAAAGGGATGTCCAGGAGAGGAGGAGGGGTCGCAGAAGGGTCAAATACAATAAAAAAAATAAAAAGCAGTGCAGAAAAAGCCTCAATGTCACAACCAGTAAAATGTATTATTAGGATTCATTTTTTTTTTTGACAGTTTTGGGGTTCAGAGTGCAGAACAGTTCTCCTTCTAAACACGTCCATCTCAATCAAAGTTTGCTGCAAAAAGAAGAACAGCGGATCAGAGTGCCGGGACCTTTCATAGCAGAGGTTCTAAATATAAGGTGCATTTGTCAGAGAGTTTGGTGTCTGTTTGTATACGCGTCCCTAAAAAATAAAGCCATTAAATAAGCGTGTCGGTGGCTTGATTGCCACAATGTGCATCAATGCCAAAATAAAATGTGTGTTCGGGGGGGGGGTCTGAATATTTACATGGACTGGAATGTTTTCCCCGTTCAGGTATCCGGCGATTAAAACAGGATTCAAGTTGTTCTTCAGAAAGTGGGGCTACTTTGAAATCTGCATCACATCGATATTCGTGTGTGTGTGTGTGGAGGGGGCAGTGTGTGGGTTAAAAAAAACACAACAACAATTGAGCAGAATGCCACGGCGCAATGCAGAAGGCATGTTCATTCACTTAATGCTGAGAGCAAGTCTGTGTATCGTACAAAAAAAACAAAAAGGGGAAATAATACCACGAAAAGTGAATAAAAAACAAGATCAAATCACAACCAGGGACAAGGAGGCAAAGAGCAGCAGAGAAAATGTACAAGCAAACTACCATAACCTTAATGTGAATGTCATTCTAAATGTTAAGTGCAGATAGATAGATAGACAGATAGATAGAGAGACAGGTTGATAGATTCTATATACTGTATTCATATGCTGGGTAAATATTCTGCTAAATCTTACTTCTATGTGTATATAGCTCCAAGTAGAGGGGGCTCACTCAGACGTATATAAATAGGTCTAACATATAAAGCCATATTACAGTGTACATATCCTCGCCCTAACGTAAGCCGTAGCAAAACCCCCGTGTGCTCTACGTAGAAAAAGGCTTCCACGACATTTAAGAAAAAATGTACAATTTATGAAACATGGTAACAATAATAAATAGTATTATAGAACTGCTGCTGTACACAAAAAAAGCCATTTTTAAAATTTCACTCATATAAAAATATGTTTTAGTGCAACCGTACGTAATAGTAATATCCATAACTTCACATCGCTTGTCGAGACTTTAAGGTGTCCAAAAAGAAAAGAAACACAGGAGGAGGGGGAGGAGAGGGGGGGAGGAGGGAGGGGGAGGAGAGGGGGGAGTAAAGGGGGGAGGAGAGGGGGAGGGATTGCATTTATTACAAAGCTGATACGTGATAGTATTGTATTTACATTTACCTTCCTGCTTTGTTTGCTTATAAGAATATAAGCAAAAGACAAACAAACAAAAACAGATGAAAGAAAAGGCACACACGTAGCTGTCAGATTTCTTCTTTTTTAAACTTTTCTCTTTAACGTACCGCTTAAACCACAGTCCTTTAATTTATTCGAGCAGATTTTGGTCGGGCTCGTGTTGGTGGGAGTCACCGTACATGTGTGACCAAATGCAGATCCTCTCTCAGAGTCCTTAAATAAGAGAGCAGGCCCCGGTTAGAGCAGCCATGCTGCACACAAACATTACAACTGCACAAGTCCATTTGTGTTTTAGTCCGTTTTGTATTTTGACCATAGCTGTTTGTCTTTGTATGCATGTATTTGTGTTCATGTTGAGAGAGAGAGAGTGTTTGTATGTATAAACTGAAGTAGAATATGTGTGTGCAAAAGTCATGTTTTTCCTCTCCCTGTTGCTCTTCATCCCTTCCTATTATCCAAAAACAGAAATGAAATCCATCGTTCCTCCTGCTCGTGTTCTCCGCCTGCAGCCCTACGACACGTCTCTGCTTCTCTTTGTGCTTTCTGCTCCCCCGTCTCTCTCCGGCTTGAGAAGTCTGGACGCTGTTGGAGGATGGAGGGTTTCCGGTGCGGGGCTGTGAGGGTGAGGAGAGGAGGAGGAGGAGGATGAGGAGGAGGATGAGGAGCAGGAGGGAGAGGGGGAGGAGGGGTGAGGGGAGGCGGGGATTGACGGGTGGTGAGGCCTGACCTCCAGGCCGCTAAAGTGCTGAATCCCGGGACCTTGTGGGGGAGAGAGCGAAGGGTGAGGAGATGGCGGCGACATGGAGATGGATGGCGAGCGATGCGGATGTTGGGAGTCGTGGGACGACGCAGAGGGAGAGGAAAAAGTTCTTCCTCCTCCTCGCTCAGCGAGCTCCTCCGACTCGATGCAGAGCGAGGCGATGGCCTTGGTGCAGGTCTGGATGCTCTCCTCCTGCTCCCGCCTCACTCCTCCTCCTCCTCCTCCTCCTTCCCTCTCCTGCGATGAGGGGTGAGGGGAAGTCGACTCCCTCAGCCTCTCGCCTCCTCCTCCTCCTCCTCGAGCTCCCCTTTCAGGGAAGGAGGTGAAATGAGGGGAGGCGGCCTCGCTGGTGGTGGAGTCCTCCGATGTGCTCTTCTGCAGCAGCAGGCGGGACACGCTCTGCTGCGCCGCCTGCTGGCCCAGAGGGGAGGTGACGGAGGTGGGGAGGGAGTGTACCATCTGGATCCCTCCGATGGGGATCATTGGGAACGGCGAACGCACCTGAAATGAAAGTTATTGTTTGAGTTATATGTTAAAAGACTCTGGTAATTATCTTCCTTATGCGAACACCTTCCTCCTCTGTGCTATTGAGCTCTTTTGAATAAAATATAAAATATGTACTTTCACACTACTGTTATTAAAATGATCTGTTAATTAATTGTGTGTGACTTATTTTGCTCAACAGACCTGCAAAAAATGTTTAAAGTGCAAACGATGTGCAAACACATCCTTCTTTATTCATTTTCTATGAAGTGCTTCATAAAATAAAATCCAATGAAATATATAAAATAGCTACAAACTTTTCAAACTACGCACAAAACATATAAATCAAAAATTAACAAAATGAATAATAAATAAATAGAACAACTCATGTATATGAAAGCAAATCAGATAAAAAAAACACGTCATAAATACAAAATAAAATGAAGTAACAAAAGAAAATAAATTTCATAAAATGATTTAAAGAATTTTACAAAAGAAAATATAACAGGTAGAAATAAATGAAATAATTAAATGAAAAAGAATAATACCTGGAGTTGGGAGTGAAGAGGGAGGTGGCTGAACAGGACTTGGTGAGGTGGGCTGGACTGGTCCCGTTCCCCTGCTGACGATGAGACCAGACAATGTTCCTGGAAGAAGAGATGAGCATCAATCATGAACCAGTGAAACGGGTTCTCATCCTCTCTGTTCATTTAAAATTTGATGTCAAACACACACACACACACTCATTGCACAGCACTAGTTACAATAAACACACATTTGAGGCCACGCAATAGAAAACCAAATATTTAGTCACGAAATAAATGAATAAGCCTTGATGAAAAGTGCTCAAACAGAAATGTGCGGTTGTTCTGGCCGGCAGGTGTTGGTAAGAAAAACAAATACGAAGCATGAAGGCAAACTCCTTATGCCTGAGTAATGGCTGTTAAAACATTAATCTATCATTTGGAGACCGGTTGGTTATCAAAGCCGAGCCAGTCTCACTCTCCGCTTCACGCTTTGTTGAAGTGGGACCAGCAGCAGAAGCCAGAGTTTGAAGTAGGGCTCTTAAGAAGAAAAACAGCCGTGTTATTAACCACACCGACACCGGCCAAGATCCCATTACCACCAAAACCCAGCAGCCCTATCTTCAATCATCCCTCTCTCTAACGCACTCAGTCTATCTGACTCGCTCTTTATTCCCTCATCCTCTCTGAATGTTTCTGCTCCGTCTGCCAGACGCTTTCCTTCTCTGCTCCCTCTTTCGTTTTTATTATTTTCTCTCTTCTCACCGTCCTTTTCCCCACATCTCTGCTCCAGGTAGACCACAGCATGAGTGTCACAAAGTTTACTAAATCACACTCGAGCACCTAAATGTTGTATGAAGTGGAGTGGAAAACTGTGAAAACTCCAACCCTGCTGACAAAGTCAGGGTTCACACAGAAGGCAACTTCTGGTTCTGAAATGTGAAGTCAAAGGTTCATGTGTTAAAGCTGCATTCTCTCTAGTGTCCACCAGGGGGCGACTCCTCTTGTTGTATAGAAGTCTATGAGAAAATGACTCTACTTCTCTCTTGATTTATTACCTCAGTAAACATTGTAAACATGAGTTTATGGTCTCAATCTCTAGTTTCAAGTCTTCTTCAATACAGCATGATGTTCATTTAGTACATTATGGTCCATTTAGAGTCACACAGACCATAAAGCAGGGGATGCTTTAGGGCGGGGCTACACGGGGATTGACAGGTCTCTACCAGAGATGCATACGGCGTCTCTACGTCACTCCTCCTCAGTCCAAATATGGTCACTTCCTGTTCACTGGTTGCAAAAAGCCAAGATGGCGACGTCCTAAACGTCTAACTAAAGGCATCCACTTCTTATATACAGTCTAACTTTCAAAATAAAGCTTTTCTGTCAGCGATATTGAGAAAAACAACCATCACGATATTTATTCCCAAATACCTTGATATCGATATGGCGACAATATTATCGGGTTGACTATTGGTGCCTTCACAAAATATTCACACAATGAGATATTTGATAAATAATCATTCGTAATGTGGATATAACGACTAAGTGGGGATTTTCTGCTGCTCCTGTTACAAAAAGACAAACGAAGGCTTTTCAAAAACATTGTATAATATAATCCAAACCACAGTTTATAACAAAAACTTTCATCTGAACCAAAAAAATGAGAAAAGCTGGTTTGCACATTAAAGGGAACAGATATGAATAAAACAAATGACAGCGTGATTTATTCAGACTCGACTATAGAGTGTTTAATTTAGGAGTTTTTTGGACTCTTACCGTTTCCATCTCCGAGCTGGTTCGGCGTCGTCCCAGCTCCGCCTGACCCAGCACGCCACCCTGGTGACCCGTCCTGAGGCCCCGCGATCCACTCTGCTGGCTGGTGGTCACATAGCAAAGTAAAAATAGCACATTAGGTACAAAACTTAAAGGAGCAGTGTGGAGGGTTTAGTGGCATCTAGTGGTGAGGTTGTAGATTGCAACCAACTGAATACTCTTGCAATCACTCCTCCCTTTTCCAAGCATGTCGAAGAACTACGGTGGCAATCCAAACACTGGCTCTTCAGAAAGCCTTTTTTTTTACGTTTTTATGTCACCAATGTTTAGATTGTCCAATCTGGGCTACCGTAGAAACACAGACCTGCTCCCTATGTAGATATAAATGGCTCATTCTAAGCCAACGCAAACATAATGATTCTTAATTTCAGGTGGTTATACACAAATGAAAACATAGTTATGAACATCATATTACATTTTATGCCAATAAATCCCCCTAATTCCTACACACTGTTAAAAAACATTGTTAAATTAGGCTATTACAAGATTAAGTCTTGCATCACTGATCTTGACACTTTATTTTTTTACGTTATGTTTGTTCGTTATTTTTTACCAGATTCAACCTGCAGTACTTTAAATGAGGGTGTGATAAACATGAAGCCTGGCTTGATGTTATTGTGAATTGAAGAATAAAGATAGAACTTAAATATTGTTAAGCTGTCCTCTTATTTGGACGTTGCTGAAGACGTTTCATAGACATAATGAAACCTCCATCAGACACATCCCCTCGACTCACCTTTGGTGGTGGAGGTGTTGGTGGAGGCCTCGGCGAGGTGAAACAGGCCGGATCATCGCCCTGTGGCGGCCTCGTGGTGAAAGGTCACGCTTGTAGTCTCTTCCCGCCGGAGACGTGGGCCGAGAGAGAGGGGAGAGCAGCGAGAGGTGTCCCCTCCTGGGGGAGAGGTCTCGCCTGTATCCCCCTCCCACCCCCAGGTCCCTCTTCGGTGAGATGTGACGAAGAGGAGAGAGATCCCGTCGGGGTGAGAGGTGTCTGGCGCGGGGTGAGAGGTCGCGACGCGGGGAGAGGTATCGGCGTGCTGAAGGTGAGGAGGAAGGGGAGATCGGGGACGGGCAGCCGGAGTGGTCCAGCCCGGGTGAAGACAGGCGGGAGGACGGGGAGGAGAGGTCCGGGGATGGGACGGGGAGGTCATCGTCCATGGAGGAGGAGGAGGGTGGAGCTAGCAGCCTGCTGCCCAGCGCCCTCTGCAGGCCTCGGTGGTACGCCGTCTGGCCGTGGTCGCTGGGCAGCGCCTGCGGAGTGATCTGGATGCTCGGTACCGTGGTGAAGTAGCCGAACAGCGGAGGCTTGTTGGTGTTGCCCAGGAGGTCGGACGCCGAGTGATGAGAAAGGTGAGGAGCCGGGTAGGAGGAGGCCATGGCTGTGATGGACATGGAGGGCAGGCTGTAGGGCTGCGGGCTGGTGGAGCGCGAACGGGTCTTCGGGGTGGAGTCGCCGTCATAGTCGTCTTCTTCATCATCGTCGTCGTCCACCTCGTCGCCGTCGTCCTCTCCGCCATCTGAGTCGTCGGCGTCTGAGAACTGGTGGTCCGCCATGGAGCCTCTGGACATCTTCTCTGTCCTCTGGCCTTCCTCTCCGACATCTAGAAGAGGAGGAGGAGGAGGAGGAGGTGGAGGAGGAAAACAGAGGGTACGAAGAAGGAGAGGAGGAAGAAGAGGAAATGGAGGGATTGGAAGAGAAGAAGAAAAAGAAGAGGGTAGGAGGAGACAATGAAGCAGGTTAGGACAGAACAGAGTAGAGGAAGTGGGACAGACAAAGAAGAGGAAAGGGAATATGCACAACGAGGAAGACGAAAGGAAACAGGAAGCAAAAAAGGAAGAAGAGCAGGAAAGTAGAAGAAGAAGTAGAAGAAGAATGGGAGGTAATATGATAATTGAGGGACGAAGACGAAGAAGAAGAAAGGGAAGCGGAGGGTGCGGAAGAAGAACAAATGAAAAAAAGGAGGAAATAGTAAAGTAGAGGAAGCGGAAGAAAAGGAAGAAGAAGCAGAAGGGGAGCGAACACCAAACAAAGGAAGAAGAAAGAGACATGTGGAGAGAGAGAGAGAGAGAAACAGTTTGTATTAATATGTGGTAACAGAAGGAGATTCGATGTGAAACTAAAAACCACTGAAACCACATTCCCACCAGCTCAAACCAATAACATACAAAAGACATAAAACAAAGTTATTTGAGACTAAACCCTTGACACTTTGGTTTTTCTACAGGATGGACTGCAGCCAAATGTTGGCAGGGTCTCATGGTACAGTAGCTGCACAGTTACTGTTGGCAGGTAACCAACCATCACTGGGGGTCCGACTCTCTTATAAAATGAAGCTGATTGGATGATAACTGACAAAAAGGGGAATTTTGGGAATAAAAAAGTTGGTTTATTGTTGAGACTTTTGTATTAAAAGACTCAAAGTTGATGAAGATACACACAAATCCTGACCTGCTCCGAGTTCTTCAGTTTCAAAATAGCCAGAAGTCAAAATCATAGAAATATAAAAATATTTATGATATACATCACTCTTCTTTTCCATCAGTTTAATTTGCTTTTCCTGGACTTCCTCCAGCGTAGAGAAGCATAAACCGTTTGGAGTTATTCAATTTTATTCACCCGACTGCTATGAGCAGAAATCAGATCTGCTAACACCGGACTACTTTTCCAGTTAGTCTCTCATATACAACCACGAACCACAAATGTTTACATCTCAACTACTAACCGAGTAACTTTCTAAAGATCTCTCTTTCCCCAAAACACTGCATGTGTGTGTGTGTGTGTGTGGGTTGTGTCCCAATTAAATGCCAAGCCAACACACACACACACACACACACACACACACACACACACACACAGGGTCAACTGAAGTAACATTTAATTTCGTGGTCTAAATGGTGGAAAATGACCTGCTACCAGTCAGCCATTGGCACAATGTGACGGTAAAATGTGAGTTTGTCTTAACAAAACCTTCACTTTCATTTTGAAACACCTGCCAGCAGGTACAACTCTACGTCCAATGTAAATGACATTAAGCTCCTTCCCTGGAAGATATCATTTTGGGTAATTATGTAGACAGACTCATGGTTAGCCAAACAGTAAAGTACAGCAGGCTTCAATGTCCTATAGATCTCAGACAACCAGGAGTATAAATAAAATATAAGGGAGCCCTATAAATCAAAGGCTATAAATAAATAATCAAAATTACTGACGTGACAACCTAACGTTAGTAATTCGTACCTCCTTAAACCCATTGACTGAATAAACCAATATGAGACTAAACTCTGTTCAAACCCACAGACATTTATTTGACATTTTCGTGTTGATCCCCAGTTTCCAAAGCAGCCAAATATTAATAAGATGATGCACGAGACATTTGGAACACGTCCCTTTGATGGAACGGTGCAGCCATAAAAATGAACATGGGACTCTTGGGTTTGTAACGTGATGAAGGTGAAATTAAAAAGATTTTAAAAGGTTAATTTCAACGTAGTTGTGAGGTAAAAAAAAAATCATAATTTACTCTGTTAAACACAAAAGATACACTTTTATAAATACTATGTTATAATGATGGGCGAAAACATTATAGTAACACTATAAGTTTACAAGATACATATTTTATAATTTTAAATTTTTTAAAATTTATATTCACTAGTTAAATTCATTTGCACAGTAAGTCGTACATTTCCAGAATAAACTACCTAATTAAAAGCTTATGTTAAAGGACACAATTATTTTATTACTTAATTTATTACAACATTTAATTAATCTTATCAAATTTCAGGTTTTTGTTAATGGTGACCACAAATATAAAACTAATTTTACATTATTTCCAGCTTCATCATAAAAGTTATCAAAAGATGTACGAGGCACCAGAACCATGCTCATCTGTTCAGCGTCCGTCACTGCCTCGAGAGACGGTCGATGGCGATTTATTATTTGTGAACGTTTCATGGGAAAGCACGTTCATCCCTCTCAGCCCACAACATCTTCCCCAGTAATAATAATCAGATTATTCATATCATATCAGCTGATTAATGTGGTGGCGCGCTTCTCGGTTTAATAAAACCCGTGAAGCCAGTCAGTAAAGCAGAACAGCAAACGTTTCTTGCTATTGTAACTGCAGGGGGGAAAAAAAGTGTGGCTTTAAAACTGTTCATGGGAATATTTTAATAATCTAACAAGAGACTCCGAACAAATGGTGAAAGGATGTTTTATTTTATTTTAAAGCGGTTTGTGTGTCGAGTGTGGTTGTTTGATACGAGTCCTGGCTGTCAGGATGAGCTCTGTTTTCCATCACACTAATTGCAGTTGTGTGTGTGTACTTGTACATCTATCTTTGTGAGGACCAATGACTTTTAGACTTGTGTGAGGACACATTTGGAAAGTGAGGACATTTTGACAGGTCCTTGCCTCTTCAAAGGCCTGTTTGAAAGTTTAGACTTGGTTTTAGGTTTAGGTTAGGGTTACATCAAATCTATGCATAAGCAATGCAAATTTGTGACAGTTGCAACACTTTTTTCAACAAAAGGGTCCTTTTGACCCAGAGCAGCATCTGTCAGTCTGCCTGAGGTAAACCGCTGTATAGCCTAGTTGTGATGGTTAAGGTTGGAGGGAATGCATTATGTAAATGTCCTCACAAAGATAGTACAAGGATGTGTGCGTGTGTGTTTCAGTCACTTGTGTTTTAGTGTGTTTCCTACCTCCTTCGTCCGCCTCAGTGTCCTCAACAGAAGACATGGAGACTCCCAACTCCAGACACTTTTTCATATGAGCCTTAGACTTCATGTGCTTCGTCAGGTTTCCTACAAAACACACACACACACCATTTAATGACCTTTTGACTAACTCTTACTGGAAACCAGAGCTTGTTTGGCTACAAGAGTGACAAAGTGAAATTGGAAATAGAAGCAGCGTGGCCACAAAATTACAATTTACAAATTATATATAATTTATACATAATGTAATTTAATGACAAAATGACTCAACCTGGTCTGGACTCTTGGTCAGAAACATTCTGTACGTTTAAAAGAGGAGAGTTTAAGGTTTCAAAATCTATCAGGCAGATAATGGCTTTTTTATTAAAGATCAGATGTCAGCGAGTCAGCATATTGGGCCCCTGATATGAAGAAGATTCCTGTTTGACCACAGCTACAGACAAACAGCCTCTGTGCAAGTTTTATTCATTCATTCAACCACTTAGTTCTGTTTTTTTTCGGATTCACTGCTTCAGTTAAAGCTTTAATGTTGAGTTTTCCAACTAATGATCTGCTTAAAACATCCTAAAAAATATGATATAAAAAATATGATATAAACAAAGTTTTACTGGACTATTATGATCAAAAGGTTTTTTAGAGAGTTTTCTAACCTGATGAGGAGCAAATTTATCAAATGAGTATGAAACAATGAAAATTGTAAACCTCATGTTTAATTATGGCACAGAATATCCTTCTACATAATGGTGACTGCAGTGAGAAAATAAAGTTCAAGTCTACCTCACATTCAGATTCATAAACAAGCAGCTTGGAAAAGAAGCCCTACCTTTCGTTTTGAAGGCGAAGTTGCAGAACTTGCAGACGTACGGCCGGACGTCGGTGTGCGTTCGGATGTGTTTCTTCAGCATGCTGGGTTTCTTACAGCGGATGCCGCACTCCTCGCAGATGTATTTCCCCCGACCGCGACCACGAACGTAAACATAGTCCTCGTTGGATTTATACCTGGAAGAAAGCGCAAGTAACGAAGAATGAATGGCGATGCTTAGACATTTGCATATCAACCTCCTGAAAAAGTAAATCTTAAACTTTATGCCTGCAGTCACCAACCTGGGGGCTGGGATTCTCCGTCTTACAAGTACATTAAACCCAACTGATACTGAATGTGTTTTTAGGACAATACATATATTTGATATTTAATAAAAGATAATTTAACAATATATCGATCACATTTTTTTGTTTTTTGCATAACAACTGTTTTTGTCAGTGCTCTCTGCAGGAATCAATCCAAAGACATATTTTAGGCATTTCTACAGTGCATGTTCTTGTTTCTTATTGGCTGGTATACACACAGATATGTTTGTTGTAAACTAAAATCTGATATAGCATTACATTCATATTCGTCACCCAAGATAATAATACGTTTTCCCGATGTTCCTTTATTCTTAGTCTTTTCCTCTTGGAGACATCTACCTGTACAAGCCTCTAAGAACTATTAAACACAGGGAACAGAATCCCTCTTTAGTTGACCTGGTCATAACCCACACACACATAATTCAACTGCAGCAAAGACTTCTTTGTTTTAAGGGATCAGAAGCTAAAATAGGAAACAATGAAGCATTCCACCTCTTGGGTTTTGTGTTCATAGTCTTTATGCTGCTCCTTTTTTTCTAAAAACAGATAACCACAGTCCTCCCTCCAGTCCCACACTTATCCTTTTACAAGACTTAAAAAAAAAAACATCACTGTCAGACATGATTTTCTATCCCAAAAGAGGCTTCGAGTGAAACAGCGGACACTTGGCAGCAGGATCAGTGCATGTCTGTCTGTCATGGAGAGAAATTACCACCAACCACCAGTCAAATGATGGTAAATTTAGTCTGCCTTTTCTCTGCTGAGAAGCATCACATCTTTGTGGTGAAAGAGTTTAAACGGCTGGTGAAGTGTGTAGTTTCCGGTCTCGTCTGCAGCGGCTGGAGGACTAAGCAATGGGTAGTTCAGGGCCTCATGTGTTAAAGGAGGTCAAATATCAGGTGCATCAAACAATCCGTCTGCGTCAACGAGGGGGAAATTTGTCTTTCAACTGCACCACGGAGTGGGAAATACCTCTGAACGCTTGTCTGAGTCGAGACGTTTACACAGCTGTGGCCAGTTATGAAAATGAAATATAATTGTTTTGTTTTATTCGGTTTTAGTCACAGCACACGCTAAGATCATGAAGCAGATTCTCTTTCAAAACTACTGAAACTTTCAAGGGACACAAAGAAGAAATGGATATATTTTCTCCACCAGAACTTGCACTTTGTGGATTTCGACTTCTGTGTGTTTTTATGCATCAATTGTTTTGTTTTTATGCACACTGTTTATGTAAGTGCATGTGTGTGTGTGTGTGTCTGTGTGTGTGTGTCTTTGCCTGTTTGCCCTGTTTGTATGCTTTTATCCACTTATTTCTTCTAAAGTGTCCTTTGGGGACAAAGGAGAATTACTTCACTGTCTGCTGCATTTAATAACTCCCCTGCATGTGTGTGTGTGTGTGTGTCTGAGAGCATTTGCATGTGTGTGTGTCTGCACTGTTTTTCAGTAACCTTGGTCTTATTGGCTCTACTGTAAGACTATAAAACGTTATGATACTGTAGGAATGTCTTAGAGGACCATTTAATGCAGGACAAATTCCTCTGATTTGTATGTGGACAAGAATCTTTATGTGACTTTAATAACATCATAATTAATAACAAAGGATGTTCTTGGTTTCATTACTATCAATCAAAACCTTTCATTAAGTGTCACACAATGGCAGCCCATGTTTGACGTGGAAAAGGCTCATCTTGGTCAAAGGAACAAACATCTCACCACACAACAGATCTCTGCAAGTAGGACTGGGTATCATTTAAAATTGTACTAATGCCAATATTTATTCATGCATAGAAGAATCGGGCAACCGTTTTGTGTGTTCCACCATCGAGCTGCGGCGCCATTACTGAGGTGGCGAGTCGTAGTGACTTTGTGTCTATTGTTGATGCTACCACAGCAATGATGACTTCTTTACTTCTGGTATTTCTCCAGATCTGTGGATACAATCTTACAATTTTATAAACCCGTCTTTCTTCAAATCCCTTTCTCTAAATACAAAAGTAGCTTTTAAACATTACATCTAACAACAAATAGCTGTACAATAACTTTGCCTCAATATAGTCAAACACTTGCAAAGCTACAAAGTCTTCTTAGGTTTACTGGATGTTTAGGAAGCTAGATGCAAAACAGGCCTCTCTTACCTCTCTTACCTCATGTAGAAATAAACTGCAAACTCATGTTTCATTTCCCATTTTTGAGTCTTGCCAGAGTAAATAAACTTCTTCTTTAAAATCTTTTTTAAAATGTAGACTTCAGTCAGGCTCTGAGGTCATTATCAAGTTCTAAAACTTAAAAATAATTAAAACTATGTTATTATAAATGAGATACTTGTTGTGAAATACAACAAAGTACAATACATATGAAATAAATCTAATGAAACATCTCTTTGGTCCTATTTCTCTTAATAAAATAAACAAAATAAATAAATATGCTGATGTCAGAAAAACAGTGTGAAACAGCTTTTATAACACAACTAATGAGAGACAGATCCCACTTCACACCAGTCTATAAAAGTGAGAGCAACAATAATGAAAGCCGACGTCCAATTACAGCGATGCAGCTCAAGTTGTTAGCCTGTGATGGGTTTACCGGGCTCGAGCTCTTGGCCTGACTCTCACAGGCACAAATTAAGCCCAAAGAATAGGTTGTAAAAGGATAAGTCTTTTGTTTCTTCATATATACCTAAGAAGATTTTCCGATTAATCACGCTGAAACAGATGAAGTTCACATGAAGGTCTATGTTAACTTGTGTTGAATATTGAGCTGTGAGGATAGAATCAGACAGCTGAGTGTGTTGTTGGTCTGAGGTCCTGGTTGTTTTGTTTTTGTGAGGGGAAGAGCAGCAGCTGTGCAGTGAGAATTCCAGGTGTCTGAAGTTCATATTCAGCCTGAGATCATCACTTTTGGTTTCTCTTACTGTAATTAAGTCTCGGTTAAAAAGAAAAAGATGAACAGGCTTCTGCCATGAAGGCATCTCAGCTCTGGAGCTCTTTGGCTCAGAATCTGAGGCTGATAGATTCAGTTACATCTCTTAAATACCTTTATAACACTTGTCATTACCTGGTTTTACTGTTGGTTATTTCTTTAGTTTTACCTCTTGACACGCTCCTCTTCTTATTACATTTTTACCGTTGTCTTTTTCTTTCGTTACCTCCGCCATTGAGGTTATGTCCGTCTGTTTGTCCATATGATAACGAAAAAACTACCGGCCCGATTTTCATGAAAGATAGATTATTTTCCCTTGGGGGAGGTTTGAGCTCAGTTGAAATACTGTTTTAGAGTTTAAATCTTATTTTACCTTGCTGTGAAAGGGATATAAATGTTACTATGGAATATACTACTAAGATGGAGCAAAAACATGCTTGCTGTCACACTCAAGCATTGCTTTTAAAATGATTGATTGAATCTCAGAAAAGCCCCATAATGGAATGAGGTCTCTAGCCTTTTCAGTTTCAACTGGCAATGTTATGAATCCCAGATACAAATCACTGTAAATATCTAACCAATTATTCCTCAACAAAAGTGCTATCTGTGCAACAGATGTGACCGAGAGTCCTTTTGAGTTACTATGCAAAGAAACCAAACAAGGGACTGAAATGAAAATTTCTATGGCATGGATCATGAAGATGTCGCATTTGTGTCTGGGAAAGCATTGATACAATCATACCAAATACGAACCTATTCATAAAGATTTATTCATATAAATATTTTGATGTAAGGCTGTCTTTGTACAATTATTGGCTTTCAAGTCTTATTAGGGTTTGAATTATTTAGCAGACAATTTGAATTCTAGCAGTTTTCCAAGTCACGGAAAAATAAATAGACGTCATATAGACTTTCAGTAATAGACTTTCAATCTGCTCTCTGCTCTTACCCCGCTGGTCTCCGAGGAACGATGAAACAAACTCTAGAATAATATGTGTGATGTGATTGGCTGTAGAGTGAAAGGGCAAACAGCAGGAACGACATTTAAACGCTCTATCATTCAGATGTCATGTAGGCAAAAATACCATCAAAAACTAGCAAATATGTGTGCTATTCACGTCAGTTGCTAGAATACTTTTGATATTACACAACATTGAAAGGATTTCAGTCACTTTATTGCACCAAAGTTGTTGGACTGTTGTGTGTATTTGCAGGACGTACCCGCCTTCGAAGATCTTAATGCGGGTCGGTTCGGTGGCGGGCTGTTTGACCGAGACCTCTTTTTCCACCTGCTCCTCCTTTGAACGGTCCCACGACACCACTCCCTTCATCTTCCTCCCGAAATTACTGGCATCAACTGGCATCAGCTCTGGTTTCAACTAGAGAGATGAGAGAATAAGAAGGAACCTTTTACACTTCCTGTGCTGGTGTTTCTCTGTATTTGCACCCATGCATGCACACTTACATGTCATTTTCTTTATATGTTTGTGCATTTTATTACCTGATCAAACCTCAGCTTCCAGGCCACAGATGACACCAACTTTCCAGAGCTGGGTGGCGACATGGCTGCAGTTGAGTACATAGAATCGGTGTTTCTCCTCTGTTTGGACCTCAGCAGGGCCAGCGCAGCCTTGGTGCTGAGGTTCAGAGGATTGGGGTTGTATGAGCTTACACACCACGAGCTGTAGACGGAGCTATGCAAGGCAGTTTGGGTACTGTTGGGTTTTGTGTAGTTCAGGAAACACCAGCTGACCCTGCTCATATTGCGCAGGCTTGGGAACTGGAGGTACTGCTGAACGTCAGCTACATCCGTGAGTAGCAGAGGTTGACCCGCTGCTCCAGGTAATACTGCGCTTTGGTTGGCTGCTCGCTGAACCAGTATGCTGACAGGGATTTTACTGGGAGCAGGCTGATTTGGGTTGTCAGTGTCCTCTGCATCGTCGGAGGCAACCATTGACTGGGGGCTGGAGCTGGGCTCCGGGACTGAGTCGTCCACATCAAGCTCCTCTGGGGAGTCCCGACCACCTGAAACTGGGGAGCGGTCTGTGACGATCTGGAGAGGAGGAGTGAAGCTCTCGGCCCGAGGAACATCAGTAAGGTGGGGGGCAGAGGAACGGACAGGAATGGCAATCTTGGTGGCAACAGGGAAGTCACTTAGTGGCGGAGAAGAGGACATCCTTTCAGAGTCATCCATGGAGCCCTCGCTCTTCAGACGCGCTCGCTGACCTCTGCCCTGCCTCTTCTCAGGCTTGTTACCGCTTTCGGTTCCACTCAGCTCCACTGCACTCATCTCCTTAACAATCTGTCCATACATCCTCTCCTCCTTCACTCTCTTCTGCTGCTTAGTCTCGATGAAGAGCTCCAGAGAGCTGGCGGGGGAAAGCATGCGCTTGCTGCCTCCGACGCCAGATCCTGAGGCGTCTGTGGTGGATATGGTGCCTGATGTTAGTGACAATGGGATCCCTGTGTTCAGGCGTTGCTCTGGTAGTGAATCTGGAGCATTCCAGAGTGGGTAGTGCAGCGCTGCACCATCGGTGTGTCCGAGGAAGTGTGATAGGTTGAAACCTGCCCCACTTATGCCTCCTCCAATTCCTCCAGGTGGTTTGCTCACACTCACAGCAACAACCGGAGGAGACATGTTGCTGTTGTCAGCACCGCCTGGCCTGGCTGACATCTGGCTAACACTGGTGTACATAACACTACCATATGATGGCACTTGGGTTTGGATCCGCACAGGAACCAGCATACCAGGCAGCGAAGACTGGGAGCCCAGGTTCTGGGTGGCAAAGACTGGTTGGACCTGCTGCAGAAGCATGGAGGCAGTGGAGGAAAGAGAAGAAAAGTTTTGCTGTTGTTGCTGGGACAGGGGAGAGTTGCGAGATGAGAACGAGGCAGGGTATATTTGAGAGCTTGGCTTTTCAGATTTTCCATTGTGTGGCTGCTGATCATGAATTTGCTGCAGGGAGTGAAGTGGTTGTTGTTTGTGGAGTGGGTGTCCAGACAGGGAGCCTGGTGATCTGATGTGGAGTTTTTGGAGTTGCTGCTGGGCCTGAAGGGTCAGCTGCTGTCTGGGTGTCTGACCGGCCTCCTGACTCCAGAACAGACTGGGTTGCTGGTAGGTAAGGTAGGGTGGACCACTCGGGTACTGCTGGATTACTTCCTTATTCATGACCTCATGGCCTTGATATTCTCCCTCAGATGAAGAGCCCTGGGTCTGCAAGCGATGCTGATGGGACCTATTGTGGAGAAAAGGTTGAATACTCGTATTTGTCTTTAAATTAAGTATTATAAGTAACATGAAAAAGTATATTGTAATAATAGAACCAGTTGGAGAAGTGGGCAATTACAATAGTTGAAAGATTACTGGCAGTAAGGAAAAAAAACAAAAACGTTTGTTTTGAATTTTGCTCATTCCATCACAGTTGTATAAGAAGGGCTATTAGTAGTTTTAGGGTTGCATAAGGAAACCCAGACTTCCTTACCTGACAAAAAGAGGTTCGTCCTGCAAGCTGTCCTCACTGATACTCTGCTGGATGTGATGCTGATGGTGCTGGTGGTGATACCCTGCAAATGTGCATAAAACATAAGAATGTATTGTATGTAAAGTATTTTGAAATTAAATTCTACCCTACAAAATAAATCCCATGTGGGGAGAATGTGGTCCTAGTTTATTGAGTAGAGAAAGACCTCAACAAATGTTATCATGATACTGCAATTTGAATAAAAGCTTTGGCGAAGTATACAAAATGACTATCTAACTGCTGTAATGCTGAACTTACCACCAGTGCTACTGCCAACTCTCTTGGTTCTACTGGTTACATCGCTGCTGCTGTGGGGGGATCCTGTTGGGCCAGGCCATGCCCCATGTTCAACAACCTCCTGTTTGATTGACATCTCAGCACTCCCTGGTTCCTGGATGACTGCCTCTGGATACACACTCAGTGAAGCCTGTAAAATGCATGGAAGTACAGCTGGTCAGTTATGAAATTAAATGCTGTGCTACTTACGAAGTATACTATGTAAGCCTAAATGTAGGTGCAATCGCTATGCGATGATAGTGTGAGGAAATTTGAATGAAGTGACACAACAAAAGTTTCTCGTGGTGCCTTGGACCTTACTGAGCCCCATTTTTCCTCTACAATCTACAAACTTCCAGTCAATTTTTTTTTAAGAGTTACAATAGTAAGTCGTTTTTTTTACGCTACCTGTCGGACAAGATATCCACGCCGGCGATCCTTCATTGCAGAGGCACTGGAGTATATCTCTCCCTGTCTGGAGGAGGACAAGCTTCCATAGTCAAATGATTTGCTGCGCATTTCAGGCAACTCTGTCGGCAGCGTGCATGGTGCCTGCTCCGATGAAGACCTCCTCATCTCCCTCTGCTGGTGGCTGGAATGACCACTGCCGGGTACCGTCAGGAACTCCGACTGCTTAGGGCCACCACCAGATGCCAACGAGTCATCCTGGTTCAGAATCACCAAGACAATTGGTCAGTTTGGACTTATTGGGAATAAGCTCTGTATTATAGGTGCTGTGTGACAACATAGACAAATTACATAACAGTAATGACAATGTACCATAACTATTGTGGGACCAATGCAAGCAGTGCATGTTATGGAAACTGTGCTAAAACTGCCGGAGGGGTCGCTAAGATAAATTGGAGTACCTGTTTGGTGGGCGAGACGGACTTGAGGCCTTCATCTCTGTCAAAGGACATGGAGAAGGATGAGGAGTGGGACAGGTTGCTCTCCTGACTGGGGCTTCGAGACAGGCTGGTGCAGGTGGACTCAAAGCTCGATTCCCCTGATGAATGCTCCATATCCGCCAGGCGCAGCCTCTTCTTCTTGGGTGGGAGCTTTTCCGATGGCATCTGGGCGAGTGTGTCACTCCTTTGTGGCAGCTGGAACTCCTCCACATGTTGCGGCTGCTTCTCCGGCTCCTTGGTTATTGGAGCTTCTGTATCTTTTTCAGGCTTGTCTGGCTCCTCCGTCACCCTGATCTCAGGAACTTGGATGTTGGGTTGTCGCACTAGCTTGTGTGGGATGTGATAAGGCTGGCCAGGTGACGCTGCAGCTGACGAAGATGAGAGGGAGGCCAGGTCACTGTCGCTTTGCAGCTGCTGCTCCATGCTCTCTGTCCTCAGTAGGGCAGATTCAGGACTCAGAGCATCTTCAAAGATATCTGTGTCGGACTGTTCAGAGTACTGGCTAGATAGAGCTTTATCTGAAGGCTGATATCCTGGCTGCTCAAAAGACTCTGACTTCTCAAAGGAATTTGGCCGGCTGAGTGAGTTGGTGTGCTGGATGACTGATATGACATTCCCAGATGCCTTCCTGCACTCAGAGTCATGAAATAATGCAATGTCCTCAGAGCACATGCTGGCACAGGTATCAAAGCTGTCAGACTGGCTGTGAGCACTCTGAAGGGAGCCTTTTCCTGTTGGGGTGGCTCTTGACCCATCAAGACTACCTTGTTTAAACTCATAGTCTCCTATCATCTCAACTGAACCACTACAGCTACTGTCACAATGCCCAGGGCTATCCTCCTCATCCCCAACACTCTTCTCTTTCCTCCTTTTTCTTGTGGCTATTTCTGACATGCTAACTTTAGTACCATATGGGCTGTAGGCGATGTGCTCTGGGACTCCTGGGTTGCGCTCACCAATCTTCATACCCAGAGATGAAGCTAAATTCTTGGGCATGTGTCCATAGCCCTCGGCCTCTCCTACATGAGCTTCATTGGCTGAATGTTCAAACGCAGCCTGTCTTCTGAGTCTACGCCCTGGTGGGTAAAACACATCATCCGACGTCATCATCTCATCGAAGGAGTGACTGCCTCGAATCGCAGGGGGGACACTAAGGTTAGGTGGGGAGGAGTTTGGCATGGAGTTACTCCTAGCATATGTCCCAGAATCTGATGGTGGCTCCAGAAGCCCTGTATTGCTTTGACAGGGTCCTGTTGGATACTGCTTGGGATCTCCAGAGACTCCTACATCACCTCTGAAACAGATATGATCCTCCGCTATCTTCCCCATGTCCAGAATAGCACCTGGTTGCTTTAAGCTAGCTAAGCTGGGGTCTGCACCTGCCATGCCCACTGTGATAGACTGTCTTGATCTGGAGTTGGGTCGGTAGTACCAAGTCCGACCAAACATAATCTCTTCGTACGTCTTGACATTAGTATTTGGTGGGCTGATCTGCTGCTCTGCACTCTCAGAGCGTGAAAAGTAGCCAGAGTCTGTGCTGCCTTTGCTGTGAGGACTGAGGAGGTTCAAGGACTGGGACATGGCAGATTCAGAGTCCTGACCCTTTTTCTCATTCAGCCTCAGGGCCAAACGTTGTTTGATGGTAGGGGAGTCATCCAGTGAATGCGCTCTTCCAGCGTGTGATGCCAACATGTGGTGTGACCCCTTTATGTCCTGAAAGGGTGGGCACTCCATCCCTGTGGAGGGGACTCCCCCAAGCTTGGGGACAATAAGGATAGGCACTTTGATAGACCCCACCAGGAGCTCTTCAGCTGAGTCTGCATATGCTGGTTCCACACCACCTACAGAGTGAATAAAGTGGAGCAGAAGTAGTCGCACACATAAAAAGATTAGGATTGAGTAAAATTTTGAGCAAAAAAATATAGACATACAGGCAGTGAATGAGCATGTCAGGCAGCATACAGTGAAACAATAATACATTAAATGTATGATTGTAAATTTCAAAATTGACAAAATATAACTTTTTTATTTTTAAAGTCTTGATCAATAAGAAAAAACAGGTCCATATCAAGCAATTTATGCATTAAAACCCTGAACACCAATTGATTTCACCGTGATGATAACTTTATGCATTTAAATTTTTTATGAATGTTTTTCAAGATGGGGAAATCTGACCTGTATTCTTGTCAGCTTCAAAGGGGATCTGCGGTATGGGGCTGATTTTGTCCGTCAGCATGGTGGAGCCCTCCAGACCTTCCTCATCTGTATCGGTACTCTGCTCTCCATCTGAGTGGACCTCGGCCTCGCCCACTGGGGAGGCCTGGTCCATGTCCCCACTGCGGGCCACGGCTAGCTCTGAAAAAGGTACGAGTCCAGCCTTGATGGCATGAGCATGGGACTTGCGATGCTTGTAAAGGTTGCTCTTGGTTTTGAAGGAAAAGCCGCAGGGTACGCAAGGATATGGCCTCTCTCCAGTATGTGAGCGGATGTGCTTCTTCAAAACGCTGGGCTTGGCGCAAGCTCGACCACAGTAGTGACAGATGTACTTACCGGGCTTCTTCGGCTTCTGCTCTTTTTTGCTGTAGCCCTCCTCTCCAGGCTCAGGGCCTGACTGAGAATACTGACCGAAGGAGCTGGGTAAACTGGGAGATTTCTGGCGGGGAAACCTCCCTGCCCCAGCCCCATGAGGATGAGCGTGTCCTGGGTGTCCTACCGGGTACAGGTCATCCGAGGGCAACTGGCCTGCAAATGGCCAGGCATGAGGCTCTAGACCCGGCTGGGGTTTGGCTCCTGAGAGGAAGCGCTCAGTTTGGGGGTGCTGAGGGTACGGCTGGCCGAGCTGGTAGGAGTATCCCCTTGGGAACCCCTGAGCAAAGTGCCCTTGCGGGTCTTGAGATGGCGGGCCTCCCATGGCCCCAACTGCAGAAGGTCCAGATAGCAGCTTCCCAGAATTCCCTGTAATTGCGTACTTCTGCTGGGGTGCTGATCCCCCCGTGGCACCACAAGGCAAACTCTCACGTTGTCTTGCCTCTGGGTCAGCAAAAGTGCTTCGTTTGGTGGTAGCAGAGGACTCGGACGCCCACTTTCTTTGCAGAGACGCCTTCTCCTTCACTGTTTCCTTGTTTGAGCATCTCTGGCCGGCGCCAGCTGATTCACGAGCCTCCATTTTCGTGACACTCTTCCGTGGATTAGAAGAGGGAGAGGGGTGGTGGGGGAGTTGGGAAGGTGGGTTCTGGAGGGTTACAAGGTCCCAAAACTACCAGGCATGATAGCTGAACCTTTGAAGGCTGCCGAGAAGTTCACAGAAACAGGAAGTATCCGTCCATTGCTGAAATAGACTGATTGTAAAGCCAGGCTGGAAACAGGAATCAGGAAGTGGAAATAAAAGAGGAGCTTTAGTGGATAACATCAGAAATGTTTCTCTCCTTTTGCCATTTTGTAAACACTAATGTTGCTGTGCGTTGTTTTTCTGTCCAATTCATCTAAAGACAGAAGAATCCTTGAGTGATCTGGAGAGGACACATAAAGAAGAAACATGTTTGTGGACTTTTGGAGCACATTTTGAGTTAAGAGTGTGTTCAAATCAAGGTTAACACAATATCCTTAATATGATCAAAGGGTGAATACTAACTTTTCTTTCGGGGAAAGTGCTTGTAGATCCTCTTTCTTTAGCTTCAAGAGTCATCCAGTTTTCTCACGCAAAGACCTGCACCAAAACAAAAGAGAGAAAAACCAATTAGTTTTGTTATCAAATATTATCCATTTATAAAATCCATAAACTCAATGATGGTACGGATGACAAGTAAACCTACAGCCTGACATCTCCCTCTTACCATAAGTTAGTTTTGTGTACAATAAGATGTAACATTTTGGCTGCTAAGCGCAACTATACACAATATACTTGTTGTACAGAAAGGACTCATTAAGTTGTCAAGTACATGCCTGACGTGCGAATGTAAATGTCATTGATTGTTCAGTTAGTTTCTTCACACTGGAATCCATCTGTGCTTTTTGCCTTTTCCACCCCTTCCTCCCTCCCTCCCTCCCTCCCTCCCTCCTCCTTCCACTCAGTGAGTCACTGATGCAATGCAAGCCCACGCTGTTCCTAAAAAGACACAAAGGCTTATAAATAGCGCTGTGGAAGTGACGTCGGAGTGTCATAATGTGTGTAGGCGTCCAGAAAAGGCCAAGTCGAAGAGCAGCCATCAGCGCTAGCACCTTTCCTTCCTCTCTCGGTGTCATAGTTTGATCTAACTTGGTGTGTAATCGTTCAAAAAAGCAAACAAGAGAACACACACACACATGCGCACAGAGAAATGAAAAGAGACACACACACATGTAGAGACGCAGGCATTGCAACTGCATTGCAAACACTGCAGTAGACGCAGTATATATGTGTGTGTTTCCGTTGTTTAACGTTTCTCAACCACACCAACACCTGACTGCAGAAAGCTGCAGAGCGTGCGCACGTGCGCACACACACACACACACACACACACACACACACACACACACACACAC